ACTTCTCAAAGAAATGAGTACGAAGAAAAGTGCTAAACCTCTGTTTTTAAGCGAACCAGATAAAAGACTAGTTTTAAATAACGACAACGTCTTATCTAACATAGAACATACGGTCTATATAAAGGGCATACAAAGACAAGTAGAAAAAAAGACGTTAAAAGCAAGGGCTTCACTTTGATGGGGTACAATGGCATCTGTCGTTTCTACTGAAGTACAGCAACCTTCACAGCACGTTTGAAAAGTCCAAAAACTCCGCGGATAACCTAACAGAATCTACAAGACATACCGGCGGAAACAATACAGATTGTTATTGCCAAACTTTAATGCTGATATAATCACCTGAAGTGCCTTCCGCTCAAGTCGGAGAGTTTAGATACTATCGTGGAAGTACGGATAGCAACCCATGACATGCTCGCGCGGAACATGGAATCGATGCCTACACTCAACGATGTGCCCCTCAAAAAATGCAGAACATTTTGCGGAACGGAGAGTATTTGACTGCGGGAAATACCTTAATGATCAGCACTGTATATAATTTAACCCATTGCTAACGCTCACAGTTTGAGCGTCTCTCATATTAGTAGACTATCTTACCAGGGAAAAGATAACACAATTAACGACATCCAAAGATAAATAAATCAACACGATCGACCAGAGCATGCTGTATTACCCTTAGCGCCCTGCTGAAGAGAGTCTGTAAAGCACATACTTCTTATTCCAGAGGAACTAAATTGGTTAAGCTCAGAAAGTGGCGGAGCGACATCAATGCCGAACATAAGAGTCAACAATAATATACACAAAGAATAGCACACAGACATTCTGGTTGGTAATAATACATTAAATAACAAAATTCTAAAAAAGGAAATTCAAAATGAGGTGAACATAATTATTGACAGAGTTCTTACTTAAAATTTAGAATGATTTTTGAGAACGTCCATGTAAGATGATTCAAGGTAAAATGACCAAAAAAGAATACCTATGCAGATTTACCATAGAAGGAAAAACGAAGTTATCTCTAAACTCTTTTTCACTCAAGATTCGATCGCGCTCTCTATAAAAATCAATTAGAAGAGGGACACGTCCACCAAAAACGATAGAGGTCAAAGCACAGCTTTTCTGACATACACGGACTGCGTGAAGGAGAGAGAAGGCTCTGTATGGCGGTTGCTGGGTTTCTTACTCTTTTTGGAATTCCGATGTGAAGCAAACCTGTAGCTTCTAAAAATCAATATAAAAGACTAATAGGGGAGTTTGAACGAAGCTTAGAGGTGTAAGCATCTTAGGTACACACAATGTTCAGCAGGAACGTGGCCCTGCTTTTACCGGGACCATTGCTGTGGGATCTGGAGCTTTAAGAAAGTTAGAAGGCATAGAAAGATCCCCTAGAAGATATAAAGGATGATTTAATCAAAAAACATCAACGAAAATTGGCAGTTATACAAGCACACTCTCCAATACCTAGGCTCAGAGACTTCATTTTCGACATTAAGATATGCCTAGAAATACCGGTGCCCAAGCTCTCCTTTTTGGCGTCACAAATCTTAGGCGGATGCGGCCAGTTTCATGTCCATTAAGAATAAGGAAAGCCCCTTTGGAAATATGTGTTCTCTGTTTAAACGGGGCAGAAGAAGACATACCTCACATACTGTCGGTGTGCTCTGCACTGGGCCACACCAAAGGTAAGCACATATCAGTCAGCATCACAGCCTTTCTAGCAAATGAACTAAGAGGCCTTATACGTCACACCAGCTTACCGAGGAACTGCTGAAAAACAAGGATGTGCTTAACTGAGATTAGTGGATAATCATCTCGACAGAGTGAAGTCACACCGTCAGGTTCGAGCCCCTTATTTGGCCTACCTTAGGTGGGTTTAACCCTAGTAGTGTTCGGTCGGGCAGTAAATTCTATTATTCAAACCTTTCTGAAAAACATCATCAACGTTTTTTTACTAACCAGCATTCTTGAAGCAAACGACATATTCCTACATATTTATACTAGAACCTAAAACTGACTGAACGTAATAAAAACAATTTCTTGGTTTTTATGTTGTTGTGGATATAGACCGCGTTTGAACCGATAATATCTTATTCAATGATCTTCAAAAATGAGCGCACTTTTTAGGTGAGTCCACTCGTCAGACATAACGATGATGTTTTCTCGTTTTTGCTCCGCTGCAACTTCTATATTTTATGTGTCTGACTAAAAACTTGAAAATGGTTGAAACCCACTGGGCAATAAACCAGCGAGTATAATGTATAATTGAATAACATGTGCTTTCAGTCCTTCGCTGCCGCCACAAATCAAAATAATTTCAATGAATTTTCAAAATCAAGCATCCTGCCGAAAAAGACGCATTTTTGATTTAGTAGCTTTTCCTCTACACCGACGCCACACTGCGCTATTCGGACAGGTCGCTGGTGCCTACTCGACTAATACATTTAATAATAACTGCGATGTTTCGAAACGGCAGTTATCGTAATCATTATTATTTTAGTCGCTGCTAGTTACTTATACCGCAAATAGCATTATTCTTTCAAATAAGCTGTCACTTGCAGTGGTACAACGGCGAAAAAAAGCTTCCACTTTATAAATATTTAAACTAAGATCCTTCTTCTACGACACCTAATATAGTGCACGGGACTAATTAAAGCTGCATTATTTCTATATAAACTATACTAGCCTGATTTAATTACGCCATTTAGTTGTCGAGCTGTCAATTTTCCATAGTCATACCATTCATTATTAGATTTTAACGTCTTAGATGCTTTAATAGATTGATCGTTCTCGCTAGATTCAGCGGTTCAGATTTTTTGCTATAAACGAAATGAAGGCTATGTCGCAAAACGAAATCTTGTTCACCTAACACTCGCATCGTGATTTCACTGAATTTTCAATATCGCGTCTTAAAATTATATATTTCTTCCCAAACGATCTTTCTGACGAAATTAATTGTCGTCGGTTCTCCAACAGCGCATACTACAGACCCTCGATTCTTAAAAATTTGGGATGCACATATAAGACGTGTTGTTCCAAAGGCCGAAAAAATGCCGTAACAGTTATGGTCGCCCTTAACTAACAAAAGTTTTTTTTGAAATCATTAACGCGCTATTTGCCTCTCAATGCTTTAACTACCGCCTTGATTGACGCAAGAAACAAACACCTAAAAACACAGTTTTTGCGCAATTATAATTTTGCATCCTACCTTTGACACATTTGCAATCAGTGAAGTAGAAAATGAAGACACCGTCCTGAGTACATAAGGATACATACGCTCTTTTTTTATCGTTCTTTAGGTTGTTCACGGTACCCTAACAAGCATTGCATAACGATTGTTTTAAAATGGCATTTGGACAGCGTATCTGTGGGCTGGATGTATGTATCCGACTGTCGACTGCGTTTGCTAGTACAGAAGCACTTCCTGTTCCTCTTGCTACTTGTTTTCAATTCTCACTTTCTAGTATCCCATTCTCCCCGTGATTTCCAATAGGCTGTTTCAATTTCGCTGACGTATTCTAACGTCGTGTCTTATCGCATTTCTTAGTTATAGCCGATGCTAGTTGGAGCTATATTTTTTAACCGCCTCTTTAAGGGCTCCACGACGTTGCGATGGGGCCCCGCCGGCCATCTAGCCACTGGCTATTTGATCACCTATTTCATCTTAATGTTCAACTTCATGATAATCATTTATATTTTTGTTATACGTTCGCTTCGGGCAATGTGAAACTAACAATTTCATAATCTCTTTCAACCCAAGCTCTGTAGCTGTACCATCGTTCTCAAATACACCAAACCGTGCATCGCGAAGATAATCCACCAACCCACATGACATTAAATTTATTTCTGTGTCATTCCTTGTAACTACTGACAGGAAATTATAAAAAAAAAGTGTAAGATAAAAAGAATGCAAAAGTGTCTTATCGCCTAACTATCGTAAAATTAATTATGTCACCTTTCTACGGCCGCGTACTACGCGATTACGCAGCAACCACTAGAATGTTTTGGATAATAAAAGTAACCCTTAGTTGGACACTGATTAATGAACTCTGTTGGTTATCAAAGTATAATGTAGGTAAAGGACGTATTGACTGCGCTAACCATTTACGAGAGTTTTCTCTGTCACTGAGCAAAGTTCGAAACTTGGGTGTATTAAACGAAAACAACAGTTCGATACAGAAATAACGTGTAAAAAACTCAGCAAACCATTTTCGTTATTACTTTATGTCTGTCAGTACCATTAAACAGATTGTATTGGCAACTGATATTTTATCCAGCACGGCCACGATTTTTGCTCGTTTTTTTCTGTGTCCTCCATTTACCTTTCAGCTTTAATTTTCGAGATGTTGGGTCAGTCATTTGAGAAATACACATTCAATCAAATAGCAGCAATTACATTTTATTCCATTCCATAGTAAGAATGTTATACTGTCAAAGTCATCGTCCGCGAATAATTTCCTCATCTCGAGCGTTATAATGAGTGTGTATACCTTTACTTAATAAATCAGTAAATGTTCTATTCATACTAATATACAATATATCGATAGCAAGTATATTAGGTTCATTTCTTTTTGTCTTCACCATCATTATATCAAAAGACGAATAATACAGGTATTGTAATAGAAATTTAAAATTCTTTAATAAAAATTTTCTGTTAAACATTCGAACTGGTATTTAGCTGGGCCATTGCCTTTGTTCTCCTAAGAGACATTTGGCTCCTAGCAGTGGGTTATTATCCTGCCGCGGTCCACGTCCACCTGGTCGTCTGGTTACATCACTGCTTACTGATCTGTTCTTTCGAAATTCTGAAAATCTGCCTCATTCGCCTATCCCCGTTCAAATGCCACCATGCAAACATCAGCAGGTTGTCGGAGACACTTGACAACAACACTAACGCTACGATATCAGTTTTGCCGTCTAATTGCTACGCTTACATAACAACCTTAATTTTGCTAATACTACTATTGTTATCGACTTAACTGAATTTGAATCGTATGCACACGTAATAGGCTTAAACATATACGCTCTGTTTTTATTTATATGGATCGATATGAAAAACGGAAATTTCGTGCATTAAAAACTATTACGGGTGTTAACCAAAAAGCATCTCATCTTAACTATACGGTGGCGCCTAGGGTTTTCTGACCATCTCACAAAAAACTTCACACACGTCATGAATGCACCGGTATCCATAACAAAGAACTAGCTTGAGCGCCAGTCACTTTCCACATTTTATTTTTATTCTCGGCCAGCTGTTTGCACCAGCTGATTCGTTGCACGCTCTGTGTTCCTTAGATCCCTGTTGCGTCCATTCTCTAATCACTAGTCATTACATCCGAATGCACATTCGTCAAAAAATTTCTCTTAGTTACTTAACTAAACATCATTGCTCTATATCATTATTATTCTTATAGATTTCTTCCCAATACATCTGTATAAACAACAGTCGCATATTTAAACCTATTATATAGATCAAAGCATTCGCTTCTACGTGTCAACGGGGCACGTCAAGAGGCTTCCCTCGGCTCCTGCCAAATTATGCCACTTTATTACCTCACTTGCTTTGTTTCTACACCATCTGATACAACTCGATACCGTGATCACATAATAATACACCGACAGATTCATAGCTTGTTTACTGCGTCTCTTTTTCTCTATTAGAATCATCGCATCAACTGGCTTCCCGATTGCATCTAAACCCTTCAGAAACAAAAGCTCTTCATGTTAGTATTGATAACATCGTCAGCCCTTGCATCCTTCTCAATTACTGACCTTTACTTCATTGATGGCTTGTCTCTAGAAGGCCTCATGTGATGATTTTTCTGCTCAATATTGATACATTATTATTGTTGCACGGCCTACGCATATATAGAGTACGTCCGTATGGATAACACGCATAGGTCGTGTATCTTCATTGCACAGCGTTTACGACTTCTGTGAGCGCTTTCTAGAAATTTTATTGAAATATGGTTGCATTTTGTAAACTCACAAGCAGACCTAACACAGAGTTTAACCGATCAACCCTCGGATGTCTCGGTGCAGCTGACAAAGGTAATCCACGTAGGACAGTTGTACGTCGCTCATTCGATCTTCAACAAGGAATTGCCGGAGTACGAGTTCACGCTTATCTCCCTGTCGAACTAGATAGAGACCCATAAAACGTGGTCGGTCAGCTCGAAGTTTGTCGATAAGTCGATACAATCGAAGCGACGCTGGCGAGTTGAAACGCGGAAGTCCTCGTTCCAGATCGATAGCCGCGGTGGTTTTAACACCAAAGACGCCTTCACACCACGTAGAATCTACCTGTGGGTAACATAATACGAACAAAAAGGTTCAGACTCAAGTATAGCAGATAGATAGATGTGCTAGTAAAAAGGAACCCACATTAGCTGCGTACAGAAAAGATAACAATCCAAAATAGTTAACCAAAAGAACGTAAGATGTTTGAACTCCAACACTATTCACGTCCACAAAAAAGTTTTCAGGTAACGTAAAGGTCTGTTGGAAGACCCTTGCTTTTTAATCAATAACATGGCGACAAACCATCTACGCGATCTCTCTGTCTCTCTCTCTCTCTCTGATCTCGCTCTATATAT